TGCGTGGGACACCAGGTACTCGAGGTCCAGCAGCCCTGCTAGGAATGAGGAGGCATTTTTCTGAGGGATCAGGGGATCAGGAGAGGCTGGAATGGGCCTGGAAGGACAGAGGGGATTTAGCTGTGAGGAATGGAGCGATATTGGCAGAAAGAACAGCAGAGGCTTAGAAGCATGAAAATGTGGAACACGGATTTTAAATAGTGAGTGTGTCTGTGAGAGAAGGGGGTGTGATGACTCTAGAAGAGCCATTTCTCCAGCAGCAGGGAGCCCCCAGGAGCACTGTGGGCTGCAGAGTGGTGGCCTCAGGACTGCCCCTTAGAGAACCCTGGCAGCTCTGTGCTATGTTGGAGCGGGAAAGGCAGGCAGAAAGCCCCTCGAGCAGGCTCCACAGCAGGTTAGCATAATGGAGGACAGTGGCAAAGAAGAGAAAGAGGTGTAGGGAGGAGGCCTGGAGGCAGCCCTGATCTCAGGCAGCCCTGAGCAGGCACAGGGAGCCGGAGGGAGAGAGGGAGGGAGGAGACAAAGAGCTTTCAGAAGATGGAGATTTAGCTGTCCTTTATTGATTCCAGGAACATTTCCTGAGCACCTGCAGAGGGTCAGGCCCTGTGCCATTCAGGCAGGAAATTGAGCAAAATCGTGCAAAATTTGAAGGCTGGTGATGTGTGCTCTTGTTGGGATGGGGGATGGTAAAGTAGGGGCAAGGGGTCCTGGGCTAGGGAATCACGTGTCCCCTCTCAGAGCCTTGATTTTGCTTTCTGTAAAATGGTGGCATGGCAAAGGACAGTCCTCTTTTCTCACAGGCACCAGGGAAGCACCAGGGAATGTGACCCGGATGAGATGACTTCCACAACTCCAACAGCAGTAGCTAATGATCTTTCCGGAGTCCCTAGCTGGAGCTCTACATGCCTTAGGGGCAGCCAGTCCTTCCACTGTGTGAAAATGGATACTGGGAATGTTCCCAAGTGGCGGATGCAGACACTGAGACCCACACGGCTGAAACCTGACTGCTACCATCTGGCATCTCCCCTCTGCTGATAACCCCTTGGGAACTAGAGCCCACCCTCCAGACATCCACAGTAGTAAGGACTCACCCATGCTCACTGTTCTTCCCACACAGCATGAGGGTGGCAGGACCTGGGGTTCCTTGCTAGGAGCCCAAACATTTGAAAAGAAGAGCGGAAGAGAGGTACAAGGAGGAGTTGCAAAGAGCATTCCAAGAGCGCTTTTGTGTCACCAGAGTAAAAATGGGGTGGTCCCCCAGTGTGCATTGGGGCAGGTGGGGCTAAGCCCAGGGGTCCTCTCTCTCCCATCTTCTCACCACTTTTCCCAGAAGTTTGGAGTGTCCCCTGCACTCCCCCACCCACCAGGGTGAAGGTTTGTGGGGAATGTTCTCCCGCAGAACCCGGCATGAAATAAATTCCATTCTTACTCTGCAAATGACACCCGACATAAATATTCAGTAAATTAGCAGCACGCTTTTATAGATTTATCAGTCATTGCAGGCACAAAATGACAGGCAATGTTGTAGCTGAAATATTAATGCTGACAAATTAATGATTTCTGAGTAAATGATGTCATTTTTGCACCGTTTCATTAAAATTTACTCACTTCTGCTTCATTTCTGGACCTAAAAAAAATTAAAATCATTTCTTTCTCTCTTTCTTCTTTCTTTTTAGTATGGGATCGGTTCCCAAACCTGAGAGGGACATAAATTTCCCTCAGCAGCACCCCGGAAACAGAGATGGGGAGCTGGGCAGGGCTGGCTTCTCCAGCCCAGGCAGCCCCCTCTCACCCCCCTCCACGCTCCTGTCCACTTTCCCACCCCAACTTCCCGGGCCTCTGACGTTAGTTTAGCGAGAGTCTAGCACACTGGCTTGTTTGGGTTAAGCCTGGAGCTAGGGTGAGGATTGCAGAGGAACCGGGAGGACGCGGGGGGGGGGGGGGGGGAGGAAGAGATTTCCTCTTTCCATGCTCTGAGATCTCCCTTGCCCTAGTCTTACAAGGCCCTGGCAGTAAATCTGGGGGATCATTAATTCCTCAATTTCTGGAGCAGGTAAGGGAAGGGACCCTGATGGTGTAAATACACCCCACCGCCTGTGCTCAGGAAGGGTCACTTTTCGAGGAGTGAGGGTTCGAGCCCACATCTCCTCCGTCCGAGCCCCCAGGCGCAATGTGACCTTGGGCAAGTACCTTTGCCTCCCTGAACGTCACTTTCCCCTTCTCCAGCGCGTTTCCCAAGGCTGTGGGGAGGATTCCAGAGGGTGGCGATGACCGGGTCCCCCATCGGGTGCCCAGCCGGGGAGCGCGCTACCCCGCCCCCCGGGTCCCCAGGCAGGTGCGGGGGGAGCAGTGAGGCCCTGTGCGCCGAGGTCGCCCCGGGAGACCAGGCGGGGCCCGCGGGGGTGGGGACACCCGGAGGGCGCAGGTCCCCGAGCCCTGGGCCACCACACGCCTCGGTGCCAAACACGAACAAGCTCGCCTGCCTGTGTACGGAGCAGGGGCGCCGGGGTGGCCGGGCCCAGCGGGGCGGCGCACACCAAACGGTGGCGATCGCGGAGGGATAGGGGTGGGGTGGGGTGGGGGTGGGGGAGGGGACGGGGGGGGGAGCGGCCCAGCTAGATCCGGGGATCTCCCGCCGTATTCGGGTCAGGCCCGCTCCTCTATCTCTGGCCCCACTCCCGGTGCTGATAAAACCGAAGTGGGAATGAAGTTGGACGCAGCGGGGAGCAGAGCCGCGCGCTCTAGGGGAGTGGGGGGGGGGCGCAGCGCCCCGGCCTCGCCCTTGGCGCTGTACTTGGCCGGACCGAGGGACCCGTGCGAGAGGGAGGTGGCCAGCGAGGCGCCACGGGCAGACCTTGGATCTGTGCGTGCCCAGCCTGTCCCTGCCTGGTTAATTTGTACCCAGCAATGGGGTAGTGAGGTAGAGATGAGGGTCCGTGGGGACCGCAATAACATGCGTGTTTATTGAGCTCGTCTGTACCAGGTACTTAAAGTGAGTTAGGTTCTCCCTTAACCCTTCCTCCAGGATGAGGTGATGAACCAAGTGATCATCCTCCCACATCCCCTTTTTGTGTACTGGGGAAAGAAATTAGAGCCTTTGCACTAAGCTATATCCCAAACCTTTTCCACTATTTCCTCACAAGAGTTGCCGGGTTGGGCATAAATGTTCCATCTTCCTGCTTCAGTCTCTGGGAGTGCTGGGATCAGAGATGTGTGCCCCGCACCTCATTTAATTTCTATTTTATTCATTTATAATTTGGCCCCTGCCTACCTTACCCTGGTGTTTGCATGTCTGATGTCAGTTCTCTGGCTGCAACTTCTCTGCCCCATTTAGGCTTTGGGTGCCCCCTAAGCCTCCACATGTCTTCCTCCCTCAGCTTGGAATTCTGTCTCCCCCCACCCCATAGTGAGGATCAAACTCACAACCTCATGCTTGCCTGGTAGGCACTTGTGCTGCTGAGCTACATCCCTGGCCCTGGAATTTTCTTCTTATGGGCAACTTTTTCATCTTTCAAGTCTGTTGATCTTTTAAATAATCCTTTTAATGGCACTGCTATGCCAAAATACATACACTGTATCTTTTTGCCCAATTAGATATTGAAGAGTAACCCCATTGGCACACTTATCAGGACTTAAGGGAAGTCTTAAAAACATTCCAGGGAAACGCCATTCTACAGAACTTGTGTTCAGACCACAAAGCACTAGAACTGAAAATCAACCACCACGGAGAGAGAGGGCTAACAAAAATATTTGCTATTTTGTTAGAGCTAACAAAGTCTCACATATCTTGAAGTGAAAAATTTGACTTCTACATTACTTGTGGGGTTAAAGAAAATTGACAAAAATCACTAGATATTTAGAACTGAATAATAATGAATGCACTTAACATTGAGATTGGTAGGGTGCAGTTAAAGCAGTACTTGCAGGGCAATTTATAGCCGGAGGTGCATGTTGTCATCCTTAATGTTTTTTTACCAAATGTTTCTATCTCTGTTTTCTGCGCAAACTCAGAGTAGACTCTTGCTGTTATTTTTTTTTCTTTCAAAGCATTTGCTATATGGATGTATCTATTTCTGAGCACACATTTTAGTATCTGCTCGTCCGCTAAATTACACCCTCTGTAAAGGCAGGAACTATAGCTGTTCTTATTATTACATTCCCAGGATCTAACAGGGCTAGGAACAAATAGGTAAAATATATAATTGTCAATGTAACAAATATATTATTAATGGAATCATATCCAACCCTTTTCCAAAATTGATTTAAGATGGCCTATCAGAAATACTTATAAAAAAAAGTAGAACTTTGAGGGGCCAGGGGTTTAGCTCAGCGTAAGTGCCTGCTTGGCAAATGCAAGGTCATGAGTTCAATCCCCGGCACCAAAACAACAACAACAACAACAACAACAACAACAACAAAAAACACAGTACAGCTTGGAGAGAGATGAGAAACCTGGGAAAGGAAAAGGAATGTTGGTCATTGAGTGTATGGGGGAAGTGGGGAGCAGCACTGAGGGTGCTGGTGTGCAAATAACTCTTCCCAGGGCCAGGCAGGGGCAGCCAAGAAGGTGGTGGAAGGAGGAAGGTCTGGGTGAGGAGCTGGACTGAAGTGGTAGAACAGATACCCTGTGGATACCAGCAACAGGAGGTCTGTGAGTGGATAACAGGGCTCTCATGACAATCAGATAGATGGTGGGGTGAGAGATGGAGGCCAGAGGCAGGACATTTGTCCATTCATTCATTCATTCATTCATTCATTCATTCCACAAATGTGATGAACTTTTGGAATAAAGGGCTGTAGAGCTGGAGTTAGCATGGGTTCCTGGCTGCTGTGGCTCTCAGCGCCCAGCTCTGGAGTAGCTAAATGGGCCACTGCTGTTGTCAGCAAAAGGTAAAAGTCCACTTCCATGAAACGCCTACCTAGGTTTTGTCTGTGTTTAGCTCTTAGCTGTGTGCTTAGCTTAACTGCTTTGCCTTTGATCTCTGTTTTTAGCTTCTCCTTCAATGGACATTTGATACCCTTCTCACCAAGGATGGCAGCTTGATTGAGCTATTTTATGACTGTCTGTAATTATATTGCAAAGGAATTATTTTCTGAGAAGGATTTTCCTGAAGAAACCTCTACCTGGAACTAGGAACTGGTATCTGAGTCCTGTTTCTGCCACTTACTAGTTGTGTAAACTCAGACAGGTTGCTTCTCCTATCTGAACCTATTTACAACTCTTAAAAACAGTTATCAAAATAGTACTATCTGCTTCACAGAGTGGATAGTATGTATAGGTAAATAGCCATGAGAGAGCATGTGGGGAGGATCCATAATGATAAAATATTACACAAGCCTCAAATTGTAATGATACTTACAATATATTCTTTACTGCCCACCCCCTTAGACACCCTATGGTTCCCACAAGGAACTTGGCATACTCCACTTGCTGAATCAAAATTAATCTCGGGCTAGAGATTTAGTTCAGCAGTATAAGCGCCTGCCTTGCAAGTGCAAGGTCGTGAGTTTGATCCCTGGTATTGTTAAAAAAAAAAGAGCAAAAATTAATTTCTCCCCATCATGTCCCCAGCTACAGCATATGCGGACTTTCATGAGGCCCTCTCAGTCTGTCCCATGTAGGAATTCCTTGTGCTTGTGCTGTCTTTCCTCAGCTAATAGTCACTCAAGAGGGTGGTCCTAACTTCCCGATCCTGGATCGCTAGCATACAGGAGCTAAAAAAAAAAAAGCCTATAGAATTAAAGATTGTTGACCTATTGTTAATTTAACAAATAATATTTCCCAAATATTTGTTTTATAAATTATAGAAACAATAAAGTAGCATTAAATATAATTTTGAGAAGAAGAAAAAAATTCCCTAGAATTTTTTCTGGAAGTCAACACTTATTTTCATTTTTGCTTCTTTCCCAGTCTTTTGTTTTTATGCCTGAAAAGCTTACATGGCACAAATATAGCATGTGTTTAGCATTTCTTTATTTATATATATATATATATATATTTTTTTTTTTTGTCTTTTTCCTTTTTATCGGTACCAGGGATCGAACTCACGACTGCCTGCTTGCAAGGCAGGCGCTTATGCCGCTGAGCTAAATCCCCAGCTCATATATATATATATATATATATATATATATATATATATATATATTTGGGGTTTTTTTGGTCTTTTTGAGACAGGGCCTCTCTATGCACTTCAGGCTGGCCTTGAGCTCACTGTGTAGCCCAGGGCGGTCTCAAACTCACAGCAATCCTCCTGCCTCAGCCTCCTGAGGAGGGAGGGATTACAGACGTGAGCCACCATGCCCGGCTCCATTTTATATTATCTCAGGCACTTACATACTTTTAAAATTTCATGATGATGTTTTCAATGGCATATAGTACGCTTACCAAAATTTATACTTTTTTCCCAATTACATATGGAAACACTACCCAAATCTTACATATTAGACCACAGAGCAAGTCTCAAAACAGTTCAAAGGATCCACACTAGACAAAACATGCTTTCAGTTACAGTGCAGGCAGAATAGACATCAACTCCAAAAAGAGAGTTAACAAAATGCTCTGGGCTTTGAAACTAAAATCAGAACTTCTAAATAATTCATGATAAAAGAGTGATCAATGAAAATTAATTAAATATTTAGAGTTAAATTGAGGGGTTAACAATTCTGAGCCACTCTATATGTCTCCTGGAATGGAGCACTTAAACTACTGGATCGGGTTCTCACAGTTGTCATGGGAAGTTACAGATCATGGAGGAGCTGAGCTGGAATGATCCACGAAGTAATGGGTTAGAGTCAGACGCGTCAATGTGAACTTATGTTTAGATTAATGTAGATGTCGCTAGTTATGTATGGAATTTTGTATACATTACGTGTGTATGTCATTAGTGTACACACATTTCCTTGATCTGCCAGCAAATAGTACCCACAACAACCACCTCTAGTAGCAATGATTGCACCTAAAACTCACCTCTCTGTTCCTAATATCGTCCTCCAATAAAAGGAACTAGAGTCCTTGGAGAAATGTCTGATTTTAGAACTGGTACAGAAAACATACATGCTGATCCTGGGACATCTTGTGATGTCAAAAAATGAGGAAACCAAAGATGAAACAACTCACATTAATAGAGTTTGTCTAAAGAGAGCTCCAAGGGGCCAAAACTGGAATAAGCTGAGAAATAATTTGGGCTCTGGGTGCCATCTTTCTGTTCTGCCCTCTTCACTTGTTAGTCATTGTTTAGGCCACTAAGTTTTGGGGTAACTTATAATGCAGCAATAGATAACTGATGCCATGTGTAAGATAAAATACTTGGAACTTCTGCTAATAAGCAGAAATAGTCATTAAAACAGTGGCCATTGGCCAACATTTATCATGGAGATGCTAGCTGTGCACTCAGATCTCATCTTTTCTTCTTGCATAAAAGTGTTAGTTAGGAGCCAGAGGTGACGCACACACCTGTAACCCTAGCACTCAGGAAGCTGAGGCAGGAGAATCACCTTGCTGACATAGTGATTTCAAGGTCAGTCTGAATTGCATAGTGAGAACTCCCCTCAAAAAGCAAACAAACAGGGTATTTGGCTCAGCGGCATAAGCACCCGCCTTGCAAGCAGGCGGTCCTGAGTTCGATCCCCGGTACCGATAAAAATAAAAAAGACAAAAAAAAAAAAAAGCAAACAAACAGAATGCTAGGTGTGTGACTGCCTGGCAGAGCACTGCATTTCCAAGTCTGTTTTGCAGTAAAATGAGAATATTTCTTGCCTAAGGAATTTAGCAGAGGTGATTATCCTCCTTCTGGGTTATGATTCTTAAAGCAGCAGGATTGTTCTTCTCAATGTTTCTCCTCTTCCTCCTTCTAGACTGGAACTCAAGTGTGACAGTACCTGGCACATTTCAACAAGAGACACTGAACACAGCATGGAAGGAACACAAGTCCCTGCGTGGCTTTGTTCAAGTCAGACTCGCGGGCATAAAGTCTATACTCTGTTTTTTAACAGTCTCATGTATGTTGGAACTCTTGGCATTTTAAAAATCCTAATTCATACAAGCACATGTAAATACACCACTAGAATAGAACAGAGACCAGAACACACTCATATTTATATATGGGAGCAGAGAAGTCACTACTCATCGCTAGGGAAAAGAAATATTACTTGATAACAGAGATGGGACATCTCATTCACAAAAATAAAACTAAGATGCTTTGGTGGCTTACTCATGAAAAACAACTAGAAAAAATACAGGAAAATATTTTTTATACATTGGATAGAGAATGATTTCTCAAACAAGAAATTCCCAATAAGAATAACCTATGAAATAAAAATAACTTTATTTATTCAACTTTACTAAAATTAAATCTTACCTAAAGCAAAATATACCATAAGATTAAAAGATGGGTAATATCTAAGAGATATTTGCAATATATGTATTGTATCTATCAGAATATATGAAGAATTCCTTTATCTGTAAGAAAAAGATAACCCAGCAGAAAAGTGAGAAATCATATGAACAGACAATTCACACAAGGGGATATTGAAATGGTTACTAAAGCTATGAAAACAAAATGAGAAATAATTTTTCATCTACTTGCTTGGGACAAGTTGAGATATGACAATATAAAAGGCTGACAAGGATGTGAGGAAAACAATACTGTTATCCATAGCAAGAGAAAGTATAAATATTGCCACTCAGAAAAGCGAATAAGCAACATGTAACAACATTTTAAAATGTGTATCTCCTATGACCCACCTGGAAAATTCCATTTCTAGGAATAGTCTCTGGAGAAATTCTAGCATGTATTTTTCAGGATGTATTCCACACCATTGTTTACAAGTATCTAAAAACTGGACACAACCTAAATAACCATGTATAGGGGAATGAATTAATGGCACAGGACAGGTTTATGTGATGGGATGTTAGCAGTTTAAGAGGAACTAGCTCTGTGCATATCCACATGGATAGTTTTAAATGATGTAGTAAGATTTCAGAACAATAAGAAAAGGATATCATTTACATACATTTCAAATGTAAAAAGAGCCTATACTATTTATGTTACTTTTTTCTTTGTTTTTTTGGATGGGAGATTGAACTCATGATCTTGCCCTTGCCAGGCAAGTGCCACTGAGAACACATACAATAGAGTGTCTGGCAGCACTGGAGAGCAACCCAGCACCTGCATATGCCAGGTAAGTTGCTCCTACCACTGATCCACAGTCTCAGCCCAAGAATTTTTTTGAAAGGAAGGATGTATCTCAAAGCTATAATACTTTCCTCTCAGAAAGAAGGTACAGCACAGGGAATGTCAGTTAGAAGAGACTTTAATTGTATCTTTAATGTATAATTTCCCTAAAAGGAAACAACAACAGCAAAAGAATATGATGAAAAATACTAACATTAATAAATTTACTAGTCAGGGTCCAATCAGGAGACAGAAATTATACAGGAAATTTAGTAAAAAAATTAATGGAGAGCCTGGGAATGTAACTCATCGGTAGAAGACTTGCCTACCATATGCAAATCTCTGTGTTCCATCCCTAGCACCAAATACACACACACACACACACACACACACACACACACACACACACAAGCCCCCCAGGATTAACTAGAGTGGTAGAGGAACCTCTGAAGAAGAGTAGCAGAAGTGGGGAGCAATTACTACCTCCAGACCTAAGAAAGCATACGCCAGGAAGGAACACACTTGGAGCATATCCCTATCTGGATACTGAGATTCAGAGCCCGGCTGTGGACGACGCGGAAAGTTCACTAAAGTGCTTCAGTTCAGCCTGGACCACAGCTGGTGGTCCCTCTAGCGCCCTCTATCCACAAACCCTGATGGAGAAGTGTTTACAGGGTACATATCTGCCGGATTAAAAACCAAGGCAAATAGGGTGGATTTAGAGCCAAAAAGTAATAAATTGATTACTGGCACATTAGTGATGGATAATGGGAATACAGATGTTGGTTATATTATTATATGTGGTTTAAAGATCTCAAAATAAAAATGTCAATGCCAAATGTGGCAGCACACACCTGTAATCCCAGCCACTTGGGAGGCAAATGGAGGAGGATGCTGAATTCAAAGCAAGCCTGGGTGACTTAATAAGACCCTGTGTCAGAAGAAAATAAGAAGTATGGGGAACGCAGCTGAGTGGTGGTGCATTTTCCTAGCACGTGTAAGGTCCTGAGTTCAATCCCCAGCATCACACACACACACACACACACACACACACACACACACGATATATATATATATATATATATATATATATATATATATATATATTTATAAATATATATATATATATATATATGTTTATAAGAGACCTGGGGACTTAGCTCAGCGGCATAAGCGCCTGCCTTGCAAGCAGGCAGTCGTGAATTCGATCGTACCAATAAAAACGAAAAAGACAAAAAAAAGAGACACCGAGAAATTTTACAAGGATGATTCTCCCCCTTGACAATTCCACCAATTCCTTTCTCCTGTTCTCTGCTTATCTCCAACAGAATGCATGTGTTTGTAAATGCCTGGCATCTCCCCTGATGGTAGGAAGAAGCCCGTAACAGTGTTTGCTTCCAGGGAGACCTGGATGGCTGGGAGTAGAGGTGGGCAAGAGACTTCAGTAAGACCCCTCTGAACCTTTGGAATTGTGAACCATGCACACATGTTATCTATTTAAAAAGTAACAAGTTAAGCAAAACAAACTAAAAACTAAAACCAAACCTATGATCTTTAAGAAACAGCCATACCTTTGAAAAATTAAAAATAAAATCACCACATGGTCCAGCAATTCCACTTCTTAGAATAAATTCAAAAGAATTGAAATCAGGGTCTTGAAGCAATATTTCTTTTCCCACATTAATAGAAGTATTATTTACAATGCCTGAAACATGGAAGCAATCCAACTATCCATCAACAGATAAATGGGTAAACAAAATGTGGTATACCTACACAGCGGAACATTATCTGGCCTAAAAAAAGAAAGAAGTTCTGATACATGCCACAACATGAATCTTGAGGAGTGTGCTAAGTAAAATCAGCCAATCACAAAAGGATTTTAGTGCTTATTTGAGTGCTAGAATACAATAGTCAAATTAAGAGACATAAAGTAAAATGCTCATTACCAGGGCCTAGAAGGAGGGGGAATAGTAGGTTGTTTTTGATTTGGAATAAGTTGAACTTTTTGCAAGATGAAAAGAGTTCTATGAATGGATGGTGGTGATAACCACCAGACAATAAGAATACCACTGAACTATACATTTAAAATGGCTATAATGATGGATCTTTATATTAGGTGTTTATTGCCACAAAAAATATGAACAAAAATAGACACAACTGCCCTTTTCTAAAGGCACATGCCTGTAATCCCAGCACTCAGGAGGCTGAGGCAGGAGGATTGTTGCAAATTTGGAACCCGCCTGGGCTACAAAGTGAGCTCAAGACCAGTCTGAACTGCATAGTGAGACCCTGTCTCAAAAGAATAAAAATAAATAAATAAAAAGAAAAGAAAAGAAAGAAAGCAAGAAAGAAATGATGCCACTATGGACCAACTTACCCTCCATGGTATAGTGGAAAGGGACGAGGCTTCAGAGTCATCCAGTGGGTTTGGTATGCCCCTCAGCCACTAGAGCCTTGGGCAGATGAACACACAGCTCTGGCCTTAATTTTCTCCTCCAAGAAATGGGATGGTAACTAGTTGTGATTAAATATATCGTTCTTACTTGTTTCGTATATTGAGAAGCTTGTGAGTTGGAGAACTAATTCCACTCTACTTTCCCCTATGTTTGTATCAGCAGCAGAGAACAGAACTCTGTTGGGGGAACAGAATATGCTTCTTAGTCTTTATTTTTTCTTTTTTCGGGTGGTTGTAGATTAGTGTGCCGCTGTAAGAAATGATACAGAGAGATCCTTTATGCACTTTCCACTGATGGTAACATCTTGCACAACTGCAGTACAATATCACCACTGGGAATGTGACCTTGGTGCAACCCACTGACTTTACTCAGGTTTCAGCAGTTGAATGTGCATGCTTGTGTGTGTGCACACATGTGCACATGTGTGTGCCTGTGTGTGTGGTTCTATGCAATTGATTCCCATTGCAGATGCCTTTTGGAGCCACAGAGGACATGTTTCCCATATGCATCATTGGGGTTTCTTACAAAGATTCTGGTCTAAGCATAAAGTAGTGAGTTCAATCTCTGCTACCAAAAAAACAAAACAAAACAAAACAAAAACAAAGATTCTGGGCTACACAGCTTCACTTCTACCCTTACTTTCTTTTTCTCCCACATCTTGAAAGTCCCTTAGAGAGCTGGAACAAATAACGGGTGCTCCAAGAATTCCCTGATCACCTCCATTAAAGTATGCCCCATGTCTCCAGAAGCCCTTGGGACTGAGTGTGGCCCTGCTCAGGAGAGGCCAGTGTGCAGAGACTACCCTCTGTAACCATGTGCACACTTACTTACTGTTGTAGTCAGCAATTCCAAGGAAAGCAATTACATACAAGACACATAATTTACAGATTTTTTTTTTCTGTACCAGGGATCGAACTCATGACCTTGTGTTTGCCAGGCAGGCGCTTACTCTGCTGAGCTAAATCCATAGCCCAGAATTATTTTATAATGGTACCCCAAGAGTCCAATACAAAAGAAAGAGTGCGGGAAATCTGTCCACACATTAAGACCCAAAGAATCCAGCTGAGGGCCTGGATCCCATGGCAATGCCCTGCATGAGTCCAGCTGAAGACCTAGAATCCATGACAATGTTCCCCATGACTTCAGCTGGAGGCCTAGAGCCCATGACAATGTCTTATGCAAACCTGTTTTATAGATCTGCACTGGGAAGGCCCAAAGATCAGCGGTAGAAGCTAGAAAGTCTGTGCCAGCAGGCTGAGGGTTCACTGGAGCAAGAAGCAATGCTTACAGTCAGGACCAGAGCTCCCCTGTAAAGCACCACAGCCATCCTCAGTGCTAACTAGGTACCAAGGTCCTCTGACGATGAGAACAGCTGAGTTCATAATTCAGGAAGCCAGCAGGACAGGCTTCTCCTGGAGATTGAGGAGCATACATCTTCCCCTTCAGAGGCAGGAAGAGATGCTTAAAGTAAGGACCAGAGCTCCCCTAAAGTGAACCACAGCCATTCTCCTCTGACAAGGAGAACAGCCAAGCTCATATCAGGAAAGAAGCTCAACAAGCTCCTCCGGGAGAACCAACACCACCATGGAGAACCAGCCACACTAACCTCCTCCTCTTCAGGCTCCTCTTAGGTGACAGCAGTCCCCAGGTGGGCCTCCCACACGCAGCACACGCTGGTTCAGTTCAGCTGGCGTTCCATGTTGACCACCGGTCATTATCCCACCTCACCTACATGCTCCTGGCACTGAAGACAAATGCCATTCTTACTAGCTTATTAAAGGGACAGATAGTTTCCAAAAGTTGGATTTCTCACCTAATTATTGTAGTCAAGTTCTGCTGTCTGACCAGGGCTCAAATTGTTCCTGCCTGAGTGAACGCCAGGTCTCCTGCCTCACCTTTCTCTCGCTGCCCGGGTCCTCCTCAGAGCTGCGGCTGCCCATTCTGGAACCCTTTACCCTCATAAAGCAGTAGAGCCTTTGGCTGTTTGGGATGGGCCAGGGGAGCAGCCAGCGAGACCAAGGCCCAGAGCTCTCACCCTGCTCCCCTGAGGCAGCGCATAATCACTGGGGAGTGGGTCCCTCAAAGGTCTTTCTCTGCTGGCTCCTGAAGAACCACATCTTTGGTACATGCTTGGTTGCTTCAACCACTCTGGTGACTCCGTCTCTCTGAGCTGAAGTCTTTCCACCTGTAAGATGAGACCCATAGGTGTTTACGGGCCCCTCCTGGATGAGAAAGTCCAAAGCCTTTGTCCAAAGCCTTGGTGATGACGGCTACAGAAGAGCTCCGATGTCATGCTATTTGTCATGCTTCCCCTGAACCCCCTGGTCACCTGCGGAGGCTGTCATTCCACTGGGGCTGGATCTGCCATCCTCACCCTTCCAGAGCTCTCTCTACATTCATTACCCCTAAGAGTCAAGTCTCATCCCAAGGGTGGGAGGAGAAATCAAAACAGGTGGTAATAGGGCACTTAAAATGACTTAGCCGTCCCCTGGCTGCATCCTGTTCCCCAGGCCACCTAAGCCACTTCCAGTTTGACAGGATTAACTTGCTCACTGGACTCCCAGATAGACCCAGAGGATCTCTGCCCCTCTGTCTCCCTCTCTCAGGGTTCAGAACCCAGTAACCAAGTTCCTCCCAGGACAGAAGGAAGGACAGATAGTGGGAGACAAAGCTTGCTTCTTTTCATCTTTACCTCCCTCTACCACCCCAGTCCTGCCACCATCCAGTGAAAGCTGGCACCCCAGGGTGTCCCTGGGGGGTGGCCCATCTTTTTACAAAGAGGCAGGATTGAGCTAATAAGAACCAGCTGGGTTGGTGGTGGGTTTTACTGCACCCCCTCCCCTGCCCTTGCTCTGATAGCTGTGAGAAACTGATGACAACCTGTTTGACCTCTGACCTCCGAACTTGACCCGCCGCTAATACCTCCAGCTGCTGATTGCTGGCCGAGCCCTTTGTCTGGGGCTGTTTGGGAGCCAGGACAGACAAATGATTTCTATTTGTCCTCTGGTGCCACGGATGGAGCTGATCGATAGGAACTGTGAATGATGTCAAGGATTTGTCACCATGGCTTATGAATGACAAAAACACTCCTCAACTCCCCCCCACACCTCCCTCCCCCCTCCCCAAAGAAACACCTTTTGGGGGGAAAAAGACTGAAAGCCAGAGAAGACATATTGATTTTTTTCCCGCTTTCTTAAATAGCAGCTTGAGCCACAAAAGAGAGAAAGACAACACTTTTCTGTGCTAAAATGCAGCAAAAAGCCTCCGAGAATGAGACTGATGATTAGATCAGCTATTGCATTTAAGTACCACAGGCTGCCCGCACCTCAACTGCTCAATTTTGTCCACTGAAGGCTGGACCAATTTCTCCCCCATTTCCAAGCGGTTCAGATAGAGGCTCTGAAGAAGGCGTTTTGCTCCTTGCTTCCTCCTCTACCTCAGCTCAGGGATG